GAACAATATTTTGCCCAATATGAATTTCCAGAGGTTATAGGAATAATTGATGGGACACAAAAATTGATCGGACCTTACATGATGATTTACAAGTGCTTGAAAAAAATATTAATATACGACCTGCATATGTGCCTCCAAATCAAAATAATCAAAATCGGCATTATGAAAGAGATAGAGTATGTCACAATCCATATTTTTTTTGAATAACCAATAATATAATATATTAGTGTAACTGAAAACTGACTATGGAAAGTCGATAAATTATGGTTGGACAATTTCTAAGCTGATTGCCATGTTGCCGGTTTAGGCTTCTCAATGCTTCGAGAGACATATCGCTCTCTTCTTCAGAAGAGATCTGGAACTGTTTCTTTTGAAGGTGAGGATGATATGTCTCTCAAAATTTCAAGAAGCTTGAAAAGTAACATGACAACCAACTGATACCAAAATTTTAACAAAATATACTCCATTATAAAGGGCACAAAAAATGTAAATATTTTATAACTGTTTAAAATTGATTAGTTTTCTGGGTATATATTTTAAAATTGCTGTAAAATTTAATTCTACTTTCGTAAAATTGTTGATTGCAATATCTACTCAACTCATTATAAAATAAAATTGGTTATTTGCTTACTTCACTCGTATTTATTATGCTACATTCACTTCGGTACACACGGAACACTAGCGCCACCTCAACTTCTGCCATTTCTTGGACAAATTTTGTCAATTTTCCCGTATGAGTTCGTGCTCCTTGTCTAGTTTCCCTGATACACATGACAAGAGCTACTTTCTTTTGGGTGCCGTTTTCGGATCTAAACACGTTATGATCCCAAAATCATGTACGTAGTTGTTTTCTTGTTTCCGAATCATGTCAGATTATATGATCAGGATCGGTATTCCCCTTTCCCCTATGAATCATACAGTTTCTTTGATTCGAACTTTTGATCACGATCACATATATTTAATATAACTTTAAAATTATGGTGGTTTCTTTTTTCTCTAAGAAGGCAGTTACTATTTTTATTTTAATTGTGCACATAAGAATAGGTATACGTAAATGATGAAATCAAATCAAATGTCAATAGTAAACAAAATCATATCAGGTTTCGAGGGTGCCAAATTATGGTGACCTTGAATTGGATCATGAAGTCAATTATCAAGGTCATGTCAAGATCAACCTAGATTTTTTTTTCGTATTCTGCGGGAAAACATACATAACTTTTATGAAAAATGTTTTGAACCAGGCTACTTTGATATAAGAAGTTATATTTTTTAAAATACTTGTAACTTTTAAAAATGTTTGAAATTAACCCAGCTACAATCTGTCAAAGTCTGTCATAGAGCTTGAAAAATACCCTGTATAATACTTTTATGGGTTGTACTGATTTGTATACTGACGTGAATGGCATTTTTAAAACTTTCCAACGATGTATCGTAACTACAAAAACACTACAAAATTAAGAAACGTGCTAGAATAACACAAGAAAAAGTAAAATTGCAAAAAATAAATCTATTCGTTGCTGTCTGCTTCAGAAACCGATTTATCTCGAAATCCGTTTATTTTATCGAAATTAATGAGAAGTACTTTAATAAAAAAAAGCTTTAGAGGATCTAAATATAACACTTTCGGTTTGATGGCATATCTATCAAAATTTTTCATAAAATATGTGTCGGATCCAGTCCATTTCTGGCTAGCTTGTAATTTTTAAACATATACAGGGTGTCCCAAAATAACGTGCACAACGGAAGACCACAGATTTGTGGACTCAAAACGGACAGGTTAAGGCTAATTCACCTATATCCGAAAACACTTCATTTAGCCGCTAGATGGCCTCAAAGTTCGTGAAAATTTCGATTCGATTTTGATTATTTTTGAGGTGTGGACTTTTGCTTTCAATCTACACATTTTGGTGTTATACAGAGTGTTTTTTTAAACTCCTATGATGTATGGCGATAATATTCGTTTATAACTTTTTCTCTTTCGGGCAATAATGACAACTATTTTTTATTTGAAAGGTGATACCATTTGGTAGTTTTTGGGCCTTACAGTCAACCTACAAAATCAGAGCCTACTAGCACTTTGTTAAGTATTGTGATGGTGGTAAGATAATGTATACATTTCAAAAATATTTCTTTGTACCCAAACCGCTCAGTTAATCAAAATTCTACAAGAGACCCACAAACTTCCAAATGGTATCATCTATCAAATAAAAAATAGTTGTCATTATTGCCTGAAAGAGGAAAAAGTTATGAACGAATATTATCACCACACATCAATTTTGTAGGAGTAGTAAGTTTTAAAAAACACTATATAATGCCGAAATGTGTAGATTGAAAGCAACAGTCCACATCCCAAAAATAATTAAAATCTAATAATACGTATTCGTTATTTACAAAATTCAAAAATATTTCGCGAACTTTAAGGCCATCTAGCGATTCCGGATATAGGTGAATTAGCCTAAATCTGCCTATTTTGAGTCCATGAATCTGTGGTCTACCGTTGTACATGTTATTCTGGGACACTCTGTATATTGTTTTATATTCCCTACCGTTGTTTTATTGAATAAAGTAGGAAATATTAACTGTAACAATCACATTGCACACTTGTAAATCAAATGTAACTTATTTCCTTAATTATTAAAATGAACTTCATAATATGTGGTTCTAGACTACAATTTTTATAAACCTATCAAAAATTAATTTTTTTAAATATCCCGAAAAAAAACTACAACCTGGCAACACTGTACCATTGCGACGTCATTGCAAACTTATAGTAAAGTTGTTACGATGTCAATTGGAACCTGTACATCTTAAAGCACAGGACCGTATGCTGAAATTTCTTATGCTTTAACCATGATGTGTCTTGTAATTTATACTCGAATAGCAACTCGGCGAGTCCGGTATTGGTAACTAGTCCGCCTGATGTATAAACTAGTCCGCCTGCTGTAGAATTGAAGGCGGCGCGCTGGTCATCAAAGCAAACCTGTATTGGTCCACTAGGTCGTAAATAATTTTTTTGTATGGTACACGGGTTCACTTAGCTTAGCCGCTTTGCCAGTGCCGTGCAGAGCATTGCTTGGCGGGGTATTTTGTTAGTATAGTACGTATTATTATTTATTAGTTGATATTATTATTTGTTCATATCGTAACCAGTAAAAGGTAAGTTATTAAAATAAATGTTATATGTAATTATCTGGTAATTTAGTGTGGCTCTCTGGAGACTCTTTGAAGCGGAGGATAACGAAATAACTCGGGAAAATCCCCAAATAGTGGAAATGGTTTTTGTCGAAAGTATCGAAACAATCTCTGAGTTTAAAAACAAAGATTTACATGTAAAAAGTCAACGTATTATATTAAATATATATATATATATACAGTAAAACTCGGTTATAGCGAGCATTCACGGGAACGCAAAATTTGCTCGTTATACGCGAGTGCTCGTTATAGACGTCGCCGTCGCCAACTATGCTGAAAATTATTGGACACATAATTATAGCTGCATTGCACTTGTATTTTTATTTCCAAACATATAATATTATTTATCTACATAACATAGATACGTATAACTGTAGGTAAGTTACATTACATAGCATTTATTATTAACGAAAAAATTCTGTAATATTTTTCTGCACCACTCTTTTGCTTAATATCTCCTGACTGATATTTCTTTGCAACCGATCAGCGGCATTTAAGAACTGCTCGTTTTCCGGATATTTGAATTCGACGTATGATACTATGGTTTTTAACGCAGAGATGGCTTCATGTGTCGAAGGAACTGTAACCTCATCGCTTCCCGTCTCTTCTTCATCACTTTCTTCATCTATTGATGGGTTAATCGCTAATTGTGTGATTTGAATTTCATTTGGGAATTCAGCCACTTCGAGATTTTCGTCTACCATGTCGTACTGAACTAAGTCAAAGACGTCAAAATCGGATATGTTGTTATTTCTACTAGTCATAACAAGTTTTTGCGTTCATTTGATGTCATGTGCGTAAAAACTGGTTCTACGATAACTCGTTATAGCCGAGATCACTGTTGCGCGGGACCAAAATCAAAGCTCGTAATAGCCAAGCCCTCGTTANCTTTCCGCAGCTCCTTTAATTGTTTGTTATTGTTATCACGATTATTCTTTAAAATAAAGTTATATAGTCATTAACGTTATTGAAACTGACAGCTGCTATACAGCTCGTTGAGAAATGAGGTTAAGTTGGTCGCTATAAGCTACTCCCTACGTCCAATGTGTCAGAGCCAACTTCGACCACGTTTTTATTTGAACGCTTGATATATATAAATGTTTGAAAATTGAAAATAGTGAACAATGTGATAAAAAAGTTAGGAAACGGATTGACAAATTAACTAAGATATCCAAAAAAGGCCAATTTATCGCGTAATTAAAGAAAGATTGATCACAGTACAAAGAGGAAACGGAAAAATATAAAATTAAAGAAAATTGACTATTTTACCAGATGTAATGCGATGTATAATTTATAATATGTATAAAGAAAAGAAAATTCCTACTTTAAACATGATTCGAGATAAAATTAAGCGATTATCCCGATTATAATTATAAATCTTTAGATATTTTACGACATGCTTTATTACAATACGATTTTAAACATAAAAACTTGACAATCGTATGGTAATTATATGGTAATATAGCTCGGAATATAGTATATCTAGACGAGACAGGGCTAAATTTTTCTGGACGTCTATGGATTCCGTAGAATTTATGAGTTAAATGTTTTTATGCGGTTTCAATTGAAATCGTAACAACTATAAATTATACATTACGAGTATTAATATTTATACATTACGTCACCTTTGACCCCGCTCGAAAAAAGTCGCGCCGCCACTGCGCCCCATTTAGTTCACACATGAATATTCCTCGCTCTAAAATAGATAAGTGCCCGCCGTTCGGATCTCCGCGTAGACCGACCACGCGTCGCTGCGTTCGCTCTGCACACAATGAAAGTTAATAAACTTTAACGCAGGAGTCACTTACCTTTTTATTTCACATCGCCTTGTGTCCCGCCTGGCATCGTACAGGCGGCCGTGTTCGAGCTCTCATCGGAGTGTGTGTGCCCTGGAAATCAGAACGTGAACAGCATTTCCACGGCCAACGGAAACCCTCCTGTCAACCGGATCCACTCCGCATAGCCTGCAAAAGCAATTCGCTGTTAATTATTTCGTTCGGCGGTCGGCAAGGTCGCGGCCGCCGCGAGCCAGACGTGGGGAGACTTCGCAGTCGATTTTTTTTAATTAGAATAGCGGAAGGAGTGGAAAGGAAGCGTTGTAGAGACTCTTATACGTAAGACTTTGTAATAACAGAGCAAGACAGGAAAGGATTATATTTTGCTCTGCAACAGTCTCGCTTAATTGGATATAATTATACGATAGAACAGGAAATCAATTGCCAAATTTGAAAATATAGTGTAGCTACTTGCATGGCGCGAGCAAAGTGGTATTAATTAACCCTTTGTGGGCTAATGGTGCCTTATTGGGACCACAGTTCAAACTCTGTCGGAGAATCGGCCTAGTAAGTGCTAGGTGGAACCACTTAAAATATTCTTCTTTAGTGTAAGTTTATGTTGGAGCGGCACGCCAAGCCACGACAAAAGCTAGGCGCCTAGCCACGACTATTCAATGTATACATTCTTATGGAAGTGTTCATAGTGGAGTACTAAAGCCAAGTACTAAACGCTTGGCTCCGCGCGCCGAGCCAGGCGCTAGAGCAAAGAATCTAGCAAGGTATTATTTAAGCGCGGCGCGTTGATCGGCGTACTGTTTTTGACTAGAATAAAGATGTTTTTCTCTATTATTATTAGATAGATTTAAAAATCGAACTGGGAATTTTCTTAATTCTGGGTAGAGATGATGAAACTCTCCAAATACTTTTCGTCCCCGGTTTATGGGATGTACAGCATTTCCTTTTTTATGCTATTAAACAAACACCATTTATTAGCAGTCGATTCTAACATAATTCCATCATCAGATGAAGACGACGAGTCGGTGTACATACTGATATGAAGTTCAGCTTAAAACTGAAGCCAAGACGTTACAAAACTGATATTTATAGACCAGAAGAGTACCTGGCGCTTCGCTCCAACATGTACACCTGTCGCACTCCTCGTAGCATTTGTCTAGGCGCTTAGCGTATAGCTCGGCCCGTGGCTTTTGTCGTGGCTTGGCGTGCCGCTCCAACATAAACTTACACTTAGACGTCATTCCCCCTGCCGCGCGCTGTGTTTATTCGTTTCTCAGTTGTTGTTTGTGAGTTTCGCACGACGGTTTTTGCACGTGTTTAGAGATAGTCTCTTCTTAGGGAAAAACATCATGTCACGTAAGTTAATGATCTTATTCTTTTAAATATGTATTTTAGTACAGTTTTTTGTCAAAATGTTGATGGTTTTTATTGCTAAAACTTTTATTTTTTAGCAAATATACTGTGGTTCTATTTGGGACTACTAGGCTACACATACGAATTAATTTTCTTATGAGTTCTGATGAGGCATTTGTTATGTTGGATGGGATACCTTCCGATACGGGCTCCATTACCTCTGAGGCACCATCGGAAGATGAAATTGATGCAGATGAGTGTATTATGAACTCAACTGAAGATTTGTCAGAAAATAGACCTGATTTGCCAGTACCAACAAGCAAAGAAGTTTTGGACTACGACAGTCTTCTTTTGGCGACATTCATACATCAGTGGACTAGTAATTCGGCACACGCTAACACCCCGCATCCTTTTCAAAAACCGGTGGACCAAATATGCCCGAACATGCAGATTCATCAACTGATATTTTTCTGTTTGTTTACAAAGGAGCTCATAGAAAAAATTGTTTTTGGATCAAATTTATATGCAACACAAATAACTAATAATAACCGTTTTATTCCCACGACATATGACGAAATTTGACTTTGTTTAACTGATAAATCGAACTGTTTTTACGCATTCCAAAAAAAATCATGTATGTACTATGTACTTATGTTCCTTGTGGTTCCATAGTGGAACCACATCTTTGTGTTTTTTCTATATAATAAAAACTATTTTTTGTATAATATATTAGTTTTATATACCCTTTCCAATAGTTAATTAATTAAAGATCTTAAAAAAATATACTTTTAAAAAACACGAGATAATTCAGGCCACAAGGGGTTAAGCAAAAAATGTTCTGGCCATCTGAGTTAGGGCCAAATTCAAAGACTTCCCTAAATCTATACTAACCTTTTAGTCCAAGAGCTGGTAACGCATGTTTCATGAAGTGTTTGATGCATCTTAAAAATTTTTAATTCTAATATCTATGGGATACCAAGCTAGAATACCTGTGTTGGCTTGACCCAACCCGGGACACCTGGCACTGCGCATATTAGAAAGGTGTAACAAAATATAATCCAAAAAAAATGTTTAATTCAGAGGCCAACAAACATTAATCAAAAGTTTAAATAATATAACACAAAATATTTAATAAGGCAAACACTTTTGAGAGCGTTTACATTTAATTAATCCACCCTAAAGTTATTTTTTAGAAAATACCATTTGAAGCGTTTGATTCACTCTGAAATTTTAATAGCCTCTTAATTAAATATTAAATAAATTATTAACAAAAAGCCAGACAGTTTTTCCGGAGTTTAATTACCGGCAAACATGAAAATTAGTCTTATTTAAAATAGAAAGAGATAGACTGCGCGTGGTTGGCGATCTGAGTGAGAGCACCGATTACCTCAGCAGCTACGCTTCTAAAAAAAGTTTATTTATGTAGACAACTTTTTTTTTGTAAACTTTTAATTTCTCAAGATAGAAGGATAGTGCAATTAAACAATAATGAAACATTTGAATTTACCAATTTTGCGTTTTTTTTTTTCATAAATTAAAATTTAGTTACGTGCTGTAAACCAAATATAGAAAGATACTTCTCAATTTTTGAGGAATTTTTCAATGCAAAAGTACAAACTAAGGAAAAAAGATATTTAAAAAAACTGATATTTTCTTATTATAATAATTAATAGTAATTACTATCTTAAAAGCATTGTTGTTACTGAAAGAGTTTGCAAACAGAAAATATGGAACAAAATGAAATAAATAAATTGCAAGTATTCCCCTAATTGTGTCAGCAGCTTCAAGTATACGGTTTTGCAATTCTTCCACCGTAGCAATTGAAGTATTGTAAAACAATGACTTCAAGTGACTCCAAAGATAAAAGTACATTAGATAGATCGGGTGAACAAGGTGGCCACGGCACAGGACCAAAGCGTCCAATCCATCGTTGAGGCAACATTTCATTCAAAAGTGTCGTTACTTCTCGAGTACTGTGTGGAGGAGCTCCATCTTGAAGATAAAACATACGTGCCCGAACTTGTAATGCCATATCGTCCAATAATTTAGGAAACCAGTTCTCCAAAAAGTCAGCATATGTTAGTCAATTTAGTCGTCCTTCAGAGAAATAGGGAGCCACAAGTACATCGCCTATTATGCCAGGCCAAACATTTACTGAGAACCGATGTTGAAACCGATGAGTTTCCCTAATCGCGTGAGGATTTTCATCGGCCCATATGAGCATATTATGGAAATTCACTTCATCACAAGTAAATATTGCCTCACCTGTTACACAAACCTAAGCAGGTAAGTCTACTTGATTGGCACATTGCCGTAAAAACCATCTGCAAAAACGCATTCGTTGATCACAATCCGGGGAAAAAATAAGTTGAACTGGTTGCAGATGATAGGGGTGCAACAGCTGGCGCCATAAGATGCGATGTACGGTACGAGATGAGGTTCCTACTTGCTGTGCTAGTCGTCGAGTACTAATTGTGGGGTCTTCTTCAAGATTTTCCAACACTGCATCTTCAACATTAAGGTTCACTTGCTGTTCACGCCCTTCTCCTCGAGGAATAACACTTCTCGTATCTCGCAGCAGCTGAACGCACTGTAGGATTGTATTTGCACATGGGGAGTGACGTTGTGGCCATCGTTCCCGGTACAACCTAGTCGTCGCGAGCGCATTTTCTCCGGCTGCACCATACACTAACACCATATCGACACGTTCGGAAATGGTAAATGCATTGTTTTCTCGGTTCATTGTAAAATTAGTTTGTGCACTAACTAAAAAATTAAGCAAAGTAAGAAATAAGAATATCGTTTTTAATGTAATCGGCACGCTATTCTTATTTTTTCCTTTTCCTTATCAAAATTACACTGTCACTATCGTGGAATTTACAAAATAAAAACTTTTGTCTGGAATCTAATAATAATAAATTTATTTTCATTTTGACAACATACATTGTATAGGAATAGTCACAATGATATTAAAACTGACTAAGTTAAAGAAAGAGGAGAATAAAAAACGAAAAATAAACGAATGAATCGGCAGAGATCATACAAATTCGCTCAAGTTATAAAAGCATCTATCCAGAAGATAAAGTTTTAATTGTTTTTTAAACAAGATTAAATTGTTTATATTTTTAATATGTACTGGTAATTTATTAAAAACTTTTTTGCTTAAAAAGTTAGGTGAATTAATTGTTGCATTAAATTTCACTTTTTAACACTGATGGGTCGATGGATGATGCTTAATATTTAATAATTAAGTGAATAATGAATTCAATACAAATACAAAATCAGTTGACTGCACAAATTTTCTTGACAATGTAACCTAACCTTCTTTTAGTATTACTAGTATTAGATTTTACCGACTTAAATTTAAAGGTTGCATTTCGGGTCGCATAAAAACATTTCCAAAGTTTTTAATAAATAACACAGGGTCGGTCTTCATTTTCGTTGAACAAATGAACCTTAATTTACAAAAAAAAAAGTGAAGTTAGAACTTTTTCGTAGGTTTTCTATTACAAATATCATCAGGAAGCTGTAGTTTAATTTTTATAAACGCCACACCCTGTATAGTTCATACAGAGTAGAATGAGTGACAAGCAATCGTTTATAATGTATGTAACATAACTAATTTCTAAAAAATAATTATACTTTCTATAGTGTTCACGTACAGAATATCCTTTAATTATTTGCCAAATACACTGCTATAATATTATGAAACCACGATAAATAATAAATTATAGGAACATATAAATAAACACACGTCAGATACCACATACGTCACATTTGCCACTAACCTAGCATTCATTACTGAGGGCGATTTGAGTACGATTTAAGTGACTCATTGAAGCAGAATTGTTTATGAATACGGGTGAGTTTAAAAGCAAATTTTAGAGTGTACAGACTCGCACTTTCTTTTAACTTTTTAATGCATACCTGCCAGTCCACAAACGCAAACGAAACGCGCAAATAAGGATTCGGAACTTGCATGAAAAATATGGCAAAGGGTAGCAAAGTTGCGAAAACAACGTAACAGTTGTTACAAAGCGGATTATTCCGCTAATGAAATATTTACTTCTCGTGGTTACTCAATCGCCACAATATTCTCCCCGGTCGTCCGGAACGAAAAAAAAGTAATTGATTTCGCTTAAGCAACGAGTTGTACCGTTCGCAAATATTAGAATAGTTATAAAACAGCCAACGGTAATGAGTAATGAAGTATGGCAGTTGAACCGTAAAGCCAGACGGCCGAGCCACGGTGCAGTCGCGGAGGAATAATAATAAATGCGTTCCGACAACGAACACGCCATAATATCGATCATCGAGAAAAAGTCCGCCACCTGTCACGGGCGAAATTAAAAGCACCCATTTACATACAATTGTTTTATCCAATTTATGTCGAGGGAGCGGGATGGTCGTGACACAAGGATCTGCACTGGGGCCCTGACTATTCTCCTTCGGTAGTAATGATTCTCCTGTTGAACATCTACTTGAAAATCCTCTTGAATATTTTATACACACGATTTCCACAGTAAAAATATAGTGTAGAATATATGTGATAGTGTAGATCAAAACAATAAAGATCAATGTAACAAGGATTCGAATCTGCAAATTGTGCTTGTCATACATAAATATGACATGTTATTTATTTGTGAGGAAGCGAGATGAAATTCTTATGAATCAAGACATATTTATGGTTTGCCACACGTTAAAACATCTGTTGCATGTCCCAACAGCGTGTTCTAGATACTGGGAGTGTTATTTCTCGTCCTAAATGAGGATCGCAACATATTACCGTGCAGATAGAAGCGCATATATTAGATACTACTCGCTAGATTAGGTTATAATTTCAATCCACGCTCAAGGTTCGCCTTTTGTGGTAATTTACTTGCTACATACATATAGCATTAGTGTATAGTCATCACGCACTATATAATGTAATATTAGCAAATAAATTATTATCATTGTAGATCATTCTGATACAAGCAAAGGGAGAATTGCCAACAACGGTACAGCCTGGAGCAAATATCTGTGCGGGTCAATTCGATAGAGCAATAAATGAGCAGTGGCTCAGGCATGGCTAGCCCCATATTCCATTTCCCCATACCCGCATCTATCGCATCGTTTTTTTTAACAACATAGTTTGGTCCCACGTTGGGCGCCAAAATATGTCAAGTACTACAAATAAATGCAACTTCCTTTCTTATAAGACTGAACTAATCTAATAATGCTAATTTTCTTTTTGTACGCTCATCAACCTAATTATGAAACAAGCTGGCCAGATCGAATACATAATTAATTGGCGTTACCTAACCTACAGAAATTAATTTACAGATATGAATTGGCTAATATTAAAGAGCCCTAGTACCAAAATAAATTATTGTTCACGTTCGAGTCGTTGAATTGGAATTATTTTTTAAATAAATATCGCGGAAAATAATAGTTTTGATCAAGCAGAATAAATTATTTTCCTTTCATTTGCATTAACAAGGAAACTAGCACACTGTGAACACATTATTTGCAGAATATTTAATACATATATTATCGATCAGCATATTTCTGCTCCACGTTGGGCGCCAAAATGTTCCAGGTTGTACAAATAAATACAAAAAATCGAATTATAAAATTGAA